GTCTTGAGTTTCCCTCTAAGGCAGTAGCCATCCACAGCTGGCTGGTACCAGCATACCTTTTAGATCTATTTGTGGGCCATGTCTGTGCTTTCTGTTGCTCTCTTAATTGGTCAATGGGAACTCCTCATGAGATCAGAGTGTAGGCTGCAGAGCTGATGAAGGCAGATCGGGATTCTGAGCTACCCTCTCATGCAATATGCTTATACCTACCTTCCCTTCTCAGGCCAGTTTTCTCTACACAATTTTCATCTATTTAAGAATGTTGCTATTACATCTACATTAATGATTTCATAGAAGGTTAGTTCAGTTCTTGATGGATGGTCTATTTCTTGACAAGAAACTCGTGTTATATAATCAGTAGTGGCTCCATTTTTAGAAAGTCAGTCTCTACCAAGACTCAGTAGCAAAGCAAGTGTTGCCTCGAAAATGTGAGAGAGTTGTCAGCAGAAAGAAAGGCTTTATTCTAAGCCCTAGGTTGTCTGTTCTCTAATTCCCTTTAGTGCAATGGCAAAAGAACCCAAAAAGCATACACTTTTTTATGACCAGTGCTTGAGCCCATTCATTAAATCCCAAATCCTCAGTGAGTTCACCTGTTTTAATAAATAAATTCATCGTCATCTAATCTTTGTTTTCCTTTGTCTGATACTCTTATAATGTCTTCTGCCGTATGTTTCCTAGATACCTAAGAATTAAAATTGACAAAACTCCTTTAGTTTAATAGTTTTCTCCTCCTGAGCAGATCTTCCCTTTCTCTGTCTCAGCTATGCTAGGATTTAATTATCTTTATGCACTAGGAGGCAATGAACCCTAGTGGGGAGAGGTCCTTAGAAGAATTAGCATCTCCTAAGGAAGCAACTCTATGGGAAGAGACATTAAAACATTTTTATGCAAAAGAAGATTCTTATAGTTTCCTAGGTAGAAACAAGGCAGCTTTGAGGACTGGAGGTTCAATGTCTCAGACTCATCCCTTTATCTTCAAAGATTCTCACCTCACATCTCAGATCCCACTGCCTTATAACCAGCCCTTACTTCAGCCCGGAAGAGCTGTCAGGACTGAGCACTTGTTTTGGCCTTGTAACCCTGCAACACCTAAAAGCAGTCCACAGATTTAATCCTCAGCCATGGTGGCCCTGCGACTGTAAGAAATATGACATCCTGTGAAAGCAATCATAGAGGCTTTCAGATTCTTCATGATGCATTGAGACAAGCATCAAGGTTGTCAGTTTGTCTATATTTATGCAATAAACATTGAAATTTTTTGTACCACATAGTATTTCATGGATAATGAAATGCATAGTATTTCAAGCAAAATAAAAAACAGTCAGACATTCCATAAACTCCGTGGCCACTATTGCCACCTGTAATGGTTTAAAATATGTCCACAAATTCTTAGATAGTCTCTTTAAAAGGTAAAACCTAATCCCACCCTCCCCATCCCTGGTTCAGTGTAGGTTACACTTAGCTAATTACTTCTACTGTTCAGAATAAGCTGGAAGCAATGGTTTGTGGTTTCTATACCACACACTTCCACAAAAAGTATATGGCTTCCTAGTTACCTTCCACATGCAGGGAGAAACCAGTTCATGTCATCACTCAGCCAGCTCCTGTGAAGAATCCTACACGGTAAGGAGCTGAATCCTCTTGCCAAAAGCCGGCAAGAAACTGAGGTCTCTAGCCAAAACTTACAAAGCTGTGACGTCTTAGAAGCAGATTTCTTCACGTCATTTAAGTCAACAAATGGCTGCAGCCCCGGTTATTTCAACTGCAACCTCTTTGAAGTCTGTAAGCCAGAAATACCTGAAACACCAGGTGAGACACTCCTGACTTGCTGCCCTACAGAAACTGTAAGATAATTCTTGTTTATTCCTTAAGCCCTAAGTTTGGGGTTATTTGTTATGCAGCGATGTACATTTATACACCATGTAGTGAATAAATTTATCGCAGGATATTGACCTCGGAGTGTCTCATTATTCCCGCCGTCTTATGTCACTACCCACAGAAACTTCAATAGTCCTGGTATTACTGTGTGAGCTCATCAAACATGTGAGCAGCACAATCCCAGAATCCCATTTTGAAAGTCAGTTTCCTAGGACTGCTCTTGGCGACAAATTCTGCATCAGTCATTTATGAAGAAATAAGAACATGGCTAACCCAGAGGAGCAATGAATGAAGCATAAGACTACCTATACCATTGTGAAAAGAGTAAAGGGAACGAGAATAAAGAGTAACGAATCCAGAAACAAGAAACTGTAGAAATGTATTATTTCTGCAGAACCTAGAGAGTGCTATAGTTGGGATCCAAATGACCTGTGGCCTCAGAAAGCAAGGAAGGGAGAAGAACAAATACCCTGACCTCTTTCTCCTTTTACCTTCTCATAGTTTTCTGCCATCTCTCATTGGCCAACACAACCAGAAGCCAGATGGTAAGAGTTCTCTGGTAATGTAGACCGTGAAGCCTATCTCTGGCCACAGACCAGATGAGAAGAATGAATGTCTCGGTCTGTTCAGGCTGCCGTAACAGAAATTCCCTGGGCAAGGTGGCTTGTAAACAGCAATTGACTTATCATCATTCCAGAGACGGGGAAGTTTAAGATCAAGAAGCCAGCAGACTCTGTGTTTGGGGAGGGTCCATTCCTCAAAGAACGCACTTCTGATTGTGTCCTCACATGGTGGAAGGGGCAAGGCAATGGGGCATCTTCTGTAACAGCATTCATTCCATTCATGAGGGCTTCATCCTCATGACCTAATCATCTCCCAAAGACCACACCTTACGATACTTCCACATAAAGGATTAGGTTTCAACATATGAATTTGGGGAAATACAAACATTCAGACCACAGCTGTGAACAGTGGCTCCAGAGGAAAGAATTGATTTTGTTTTTAAAAAGAAGCAAATGGTTTAAACTACTCACCAAATCATCAGTCAGTGTTTGCCTAAAAACCATACTATAATAGGAACCATGTTTTTAAAAGTGTTTGCTATAAAGTAAGTCACATAATATTCCCATTCCTCCATGGAGACTACAAAATGAGGAGGAAAAGGCCACTTAGCATCTCTTACAGAGATTTTCAGGTAGGGGTAGGTATCACTCTGAATTTCCACTGGGGCAAAAAAATAAGATAAATTAATTCCCTTTTGTTTATTTTATTCTCATTTCCCACTTGGTCAAGAGAATAAATCACAAGTTGAAAAGAAATATTAAAAAATTAGTACCCCCAAATTCTTAGAATTTTATTTTTATTCATCAGTTTTTCACAACTGTTATGAGCATTACTTAACCCATCAGGTGATACAAAGTTATAACCCTTGAACCCTTCTCAACTTTTATTGGAACTGAAGGAATTAAATTTTATTTTTTATAAAACATTCTTATACTCTCCTTTGGAATGATGAGATTTTCATCCCCGATGAAAGGCTGGGAATTTCTAACTCATGTTTTCTGAAGAAGTAGCATTAGCATTAGCAACTAGTGTGTCCGAGACAGGGGTGTCACTTCTCCTTCCCCCCACCTCCTTGCAAGCCCTACTTTATATATAAAACATTATTAAATCATCTAAAGAGAGAAATGAGACTCTGAAACATCAAAAAACCCTTTTGATCTAGAGAATAATTTTGTGTCATGATACATAACATGTTTAATTGCCTAAAGGAACAAAAAGGAAGCAAAGACTAAACAGAATGACATCAACATGCTCATGGTCTGGTTAGGGGACTGTTAGGTTGCAATTTTTTCATTCACTGCACTAACACCAGATGGTAAGCTGAAGTGTTCAGGATATCTAAACTCTTAGATAACCAGTGAATTGTCATACTTTTTAGCTGATAACAGATATGTTTAATGGGAAGGCTGACCCTGGGCAAACCCAAAATGACAAATTTTGCTTTTGGGTTTCTCTGCTGGTTTTAGAATCCAATGTTTTTCAATATTGACCCTAAAAATGTTCATGCCTTTCTTTGCTTAGTGGGATATCCCAGATATCTCTGTTGCCTTTAGATCCTCAACATTTTCCTAACCTTATTCATATTAAAAATTCTATGAATAATGAATTTACATCGGGTAATGTGATTGCTGCAGCCCCTGACTTGAAGGATTTTACAATAGGAAGTACAGAGAAGGATCAATAAAAACGCAACGTTTTAAGAAAGGTGAAAGCTGTGTTCAGAAAGCAGTATTGTCATAGAGAAGAGAAAGGAACCGGAGACACTCACAAAATAGGTTATGCTTGAACAGGATCTTGAAATATACGTAATAGCCATATGTCCAGCATTTTTAACCAGATACTGTTAAATGTATTTACTCTGCATTGTAATTTGCTCCTCACAGCAACCCTCTGTGGTAGATCAACTTTGACAAATGTACGTCATAGATAAAGCAGACGTTTAGTGTTGACTTAGCATCCTTCCAAAGTGAGAAAACTAATATTTAGAATTGAGGAGCTGTATGGAGAGAGCAAGGCGTTCTAGAGAAACAAACAGAAAGAAGGAAATATGATAGGAAATGGAGTCTGAATGGAGAACGTTTTATGTTCCTTAGACCTTGAAATTAATTACAATGGGGAGAAACAAATCTCAATTCGAAATCAACTGAATTTGCCCAGGGGTCTAACTTGAGATGCGTGTTGCAGATGGGAATTTTGTCCAAAATGGAGAAAAGAAATAGAGTGGGTTTTGTTTGTTTTGGTTTTTTGTTTTTGTTTTTGCCAGTCCTTGAACCATCCCTTTGGCATCCTCTGTGTTCTCATTCAATGAAAGGTATTTATTGAACTCTTAGAATATTTCAGACACTCTTTTAAGTATTAAAAACAGAAGTGATGCCAGGATTAATTAAATACCGACACATTACAATAATCTATGCAAAATTGTATTTAGTTTTTAGTCTCTATATCCTCTTCTCACTAATGCATATTTTAATGTTGGCTCCCTGAGGATAGACCTTGTCAGCTTTGTCCAATCCATAGGAGTGACTTTAATGGCAGGAATTAAAGATCAGGTAACATCCTTGCTTCAGCAGCACATTTACTAAAGCTGGAGTGATGCAGAGAAGATTAGCATGGCCTCTGCACAAGAATGATACAAAAATCTGAATCACTCTGCATATTCAAGCTCAATGAGATCTGAGACAAACCTGAAAAACAATGCAAAGAAACTTCTAAATCAATCCAGGAAATAAAGGAGGGAAAAAAAGCATCTCAAGAAGTAATTAATCAGAGCTTCAAGAATCAAAAAACTCACAAACAAAAAATACGATTACAAGATTTATCAATAGATCAGAACAAGCAGAAGAAAGAATTTCAGAATGTAAAGATATCTTTTGAACTAACCCAGTCAGACAAAAGTTTTTAAAACAGTAATTTTTTAAAACAAACAAAGTATTTGAGAAACATGGGATTGTGTAAAGCAACCAAACCTATGAATTATTGACATTCTTGAGAGAGTAGAAAAAGTAAACCTGGAAAATATATTTGAGGCAATAATTTAGTATTTCCCCAATCTCGTTGGAGAAGTAGACATCCAAGTAAAAGAAATCCAGGGAATGCCTATAGGACACTATACAAAATGAATATCACTCAGGCATATGGTCATCAGACTGCCCAAGGTCAATGCTAAAGAAAAGAATCCTAAAGGCAGCTAGGTCATATTCCTTGCAAAGAGAACCCCCATCAGGCTACAAGCAGACTTCTCAGCAGAAACCTTACAAGTCACAAAAGACTGAGGGGCTATTTTTGTTATTCTTAAAGGAAAGAAACTCCAACCAAGAATTTCATATCCCACCAAACTGAGCTTCAAAAGCAAAGAAGAAATAAATCTTTGCCAGACAAGCAAGCACTAAGGGAATGTGTTACCACTATACCAGCCTTATAAGCGATCCTTAAGGTAGTTCTAAACATGGAAATGGAAGAACAATACTTGCTACTAGAGAAGCAAACTTAAGTACGTATCCCAAAGACCTTACAAGGTAATCACACAATAGAAACAGAGCAACCAACTGACGACTTCATGATAGGATCAAAACCTCAAATATCAATGTTAACCTTGAATTCATATAATCTAAACACCCCACTCAAAAGGCACAAAGTTCCAAGATGGATTAAAAAATCAAGGCCAATCCATCTCGTGTCTGCAGGAGCTTATCTCAAATACAATGACACCCACAAGCTGAAAGTAAAGGGTTTGAGAAAGAACTATCACACAAATGGAAAAAAAAAAAAAAAAAAAAAAAAAAGTAGGGGGAATCACTACTCTTATTTAGATAAAATAAACCTTAAACCCACAACAGTAAAATAGAATAAATAATGACATTACATAATGACAAAGTGTTCAATTCAACAAAAAGACTTAACTATCCCAAATATGTATGCACCCAACATTGGGGCTCCCAGATGAATAAAACAAATTACTTCTAGACCTACAAGAACACTTAGCCACACAATAATAGGGAGTTCAATACCCCACTGACAGCATTAGACAGATCATCAAGGCAGAAAAGCAACATAGAAATTCTGGGCTTAAATTCGACATGTGACCAATTGGACTTAATAGACATCTATAGAACACTCCGACCATCAACCACAGAACATACATTTTTCTCATCTGCACATAGAACACACTCCAAGATCAACCATATGTTCAGCCATAAAGTATGTCTTAATAAATTTTTTAAAATGGAATTCATACCAACCAAACTCTCAGACAATGGAATAAAAATAAAAATGAAGGCCAGAAAGATAGCTCAAAACTACACAAATTGCATGGAAATTAAACAATTTTCTCCTGAATTACTTTTGGGTAAACAACAAAACTGAAGCAAAAATAAAAGAACTCATCGAGACAAATGAAAGCAAATACACAACTCCCCAAAAAACTCTGGGATGCAGCAAAAGCAGTGTTTAGAGGAAAGTTTATACTGCTAAACACCTACTTCAAAATGTTAGAAAGATCTCAAATTAAAAATCTGGCAGAGCACAGTGGCTCTTGCCTGTAATCCCAGCACTTTGTATGTGATAGGAGATCACTTGAGGTCAGGAGTTTCAGACCAGCCTGGCCAACATGGTGAAACCCCATCTCTACTGAAAATACAAAAATTAGCCAGGTGTGGTGGTGCATACCTGTAATCTCAGCTGCTTGGGAGGCTGAGGCAGGAGAATCACTTGAACACAGGAGGTGGAGGTTGCAGTGAGACAAGATCACGTCACTGAGCTCCACCCTGTGCAACAGAGAAAGACTCTTGTCAAAAAAAAAAAAAAACCCTAACATTACACAAAAGGAAATAGAAAAATAAGAAAAACCATCTCCAGGCCTGGTGCGGTGGCTCACACCTGTAATCCCAGCACTTTGGGAGGCCAAGGTGGGTGGATCACGAGGTCAAGAGATCGAGACCATCCTGGTCAACAAGGTGAAACTCCGTCACTACTAAAACTACAAAACATTAGCTGGGCATGGTGGCGCAAGCCTGTAGTCCCAGCTACTCAGGATGCTGAGGCAGGAGAATTGCCTGAACCCAGGAGGCAGAGGTTGCAGTGAGCCGAGATCGCGCCATTGCACTCCAGCCTGGGTAACAAGAGCGAAACTCCATCTCAAAAAAAAAAAAAAAAAGAAAAGAAAAACCATCTCCAAAGATAGCAGAAGAAAAGAAAAAAACTAAAAAAAGAAAACAAGAAAAAACAAAAACCAGAGCAGAACTGAGTAAAATTGACATCAAAAATCCATACAAAAGTTGATTTTTGAAGGGATAAACAAATGATAGATTAATAAACAAAAAAGAGAGAAGATCCAAATAAGCACAATCAGAAATGACGATGACGAAAATCACAACCAATCCCACAAAAATAACAAGGATCCTCAGAGACTGTTATGAACACCTTTATGCATATACACTAGAAAATCTAGAGAAAATGGATAAATTCCTGGAAACACAAAACCTCCCTAGATAAATGTTGAGTTCTGAAATTGTGTAAGTAATGAAAACCCTACTAACGAGAAAGCCCTGGAGCAGATGGATTAATAGCCAAATTCTATCAGGCATAACTCAAAGAAGAGTTAGTATCAAGGCTACTGAAATGGTTCCAAAAAAACGGAAGTAGAGAGACCCCTCCCTAACTCATTCTACAAAGCCAGGATTATCCTGATACCAAAACCTGATAAAGACACAATGTAAAAAGAAAACTGTAGGTGATTATCTTTGATGAATATAGACAGAAACATCCTCGACAAAACACTAGCAAACTGAATCTAACAGCACATCAAAAGTTAATTCACCACTATCAATTAGGCTTAATTACTGGGATGCAAGGTTGGTTCAACATATTCAAATCAATACATTTGATTCACCACATAAAGAGAATTAAAAACAAAATCCATGCTAGTTACTTAATAAATGTTGACTGACGAAATGTGATGAGCTGCTAGCATCAATAGCTGTATTCTCTTTCAGAAGAGGAAATATTCTTTTTCAACCTTGCCACTATTCTAACTGAAATTCAATTATCCCTATCTCATATTTGCTATAGTAACTACAATTAACAGTTACCATAGTTTAAAGGCACAGCACAATTATTATAAATAATCAAGTATAAATGACCTGGAAGCATTTTATTCAACCACTTAGAATAAGCCATACATTTTTAAGGAGCTGCAAAATTTATCATATCTAAAATATGTATATCATAATCAAAATATAAAAAAGGTTAATAATGCAGGAATGTAGAAAAATTCTAAAAATTATATACTAAATATCTAAACACCTGCATACAATATGAATATTTATGTATTTGTCTTTTAAACTTTTTGTGCCTGTGGGCATATTGTTTCTAAAGAGAACCACATCTATTTTATTTTTTTTTGAAAGTTATAGTCAGTATAAAAACAAAAAGCAAGCAAACTAAAAAATATTCCATGTTTTAGATAAATGTTGATCTTCAGTTCATAGATTATTGTTTCTCTTTGGTCTATGGCCTTTGGTCAGATACAATATATAGATTATGTAAGTGGGTAAAATCAATAATCATATGTAGAGGTAACAAAGGGCAATATTTTGATACTGAATATAGAGTCCTTTGTTGGTATGTTACAGAAATCCTAAGAGTTTTATGAGATTATAATAAATGATAATGTTTTCAACATCAGCAACTGGTTATCTTTTCCAGGATCCCAACTAAAATTAACCCAGGAGTCCAATAGAGTGAAAAAGTCAAAATCATGAGCATATATATATATATATATATATATATAATGAATATATAAACTGAATTCATATTACATATGACATATATATAATAAATGTTTTAAGTAAATGATGGAACTAATGCATTTTGTAGCACTGATAAATGTTAATAAAAAAAATTCTGTGTACTGCTAAGTGGCTCCTTGAACTGAATAATATTGGTATGCTGTACATTTTAGATCAACTACTGATATTGTTTTACTCCACTTTTAAACTGTACATTAATTAAAGTAGAAAAAGATACTGAAAGAAAGATTTCAGGGTCCATCTCCATGTTTAAAATGTTATGACCTTCAAGGAAAATCTGAAACTAATACGATAAATGTAATAAAGTACGTGATCAAAAAGTGTGGCAAAAGCAATAAAGGTTAAAATATTAACTGCAGGGTCAATACTCTAAAAAGTGAGAAACAATGGAAGCCATGGAGACTGTGGACACATTTGAGAAGTTGCTGATAGAAGCATTGTTACTAATATAATGACTTCAGGGAAGTGCGCTTTTGCTGTTAAGGGCTATTGCTTCATAATTTAATGGGCAGTAATGTGATTAGCAAATGAAGTCAATATCAGTTTTAATACTTTCAAATTTACCAACTTTAAAAACTCGTATTTTTTTCTCTATGTACCCATCTGAATCTATCTATCTAAATGACATTGAAAGTCATCTCTTTTCAGTGTTATAGGCACTCTTTCAGGTCAGTGACATCTCAGTTAACTATCCACTAGGGGATTGGGGATTTGGTTAACGGATTGTTTTTAATCCAGATGCAACATACCTGCCTTTATCACATAATTACAATCTTTCTAGCAGATCTCTCATTTATTTAATCATAAGATGTTGAGCAGCTTAGTCATAACAAATTTCCAATCTAAAAGCTAACG